GAGGATTTCGATATAAGCCAAGAGGAGACTGGTTTTCCTTTGCTAAAATAAAGAAACTTTGCTTCCTTTACTCCTGTAAACAAACGTTGGTTTTCATGAGACTCACCGGCGCATGCGCAACGCTGACCTCATACGTCATCCGCCCGGAGCTGCTTCCGTGTACAACTGTTGGCGCAAGCTACATTAAAGTGATTATTACGTTTTGAATATGGATATTTTTCCTACAAAAACGCATCGATTCGCTACAGAAGGCCTTTGTTCACCCCCGGAGCCGTGTGAGATACTTTTTTTTATGGATGGGCGATTTTTATTTCGCTTTTATTTTTTTATTTTTATTTTATTATTAAGTTATTTTGGACTGAAGCAATGCAACACCCACTGAGTGGCATTAAACAGCTTGAAAGATCAAAGACAATTTTTAATATAACTCCGACTGGATTCGTCTGAAAGAAGAAAGTCATATACACCTAGGATGCCTTGGGGGTGAGTAAAACGCAGCCTAATTTTCATTTTTGGGTGAACTAACCCTTTAAGTGCACAAATCAATCTGTGGAAATGCTGTGGCCCTTACCAGTCTGTAAAACATAACCAGAGGAACGACGATGCACAAAATCAACAGTAAAGCCTGAAGGAAAATGAAAACATCCTTGACTCTCGATCTCATCAAGATAGTCTGGGGTTCAGTGTATCCTGGAGAAGAAACAGCGAGAGGAATACATGTATACATGGCAGGCTAGTGAAGAAAGCAAGTGAAAAACATTGACAAATTGACACCTACTGGACACTTGTAGCTCAGTTCCCGGTCCAGGCGTGCTGTTCAGCTTGCAAAAATAAGTGCCGCTGTCCTTGGTCTCCACTTTCTTTATGGCAATGGAGGCATTTATTTTATCACTCTTCTCCATTATCGATATTCTTTGGCTGTTCTTGAGCTGGTCTTTGTAAGCCTGGCCTTTGTACCACTCTACATGAGCAGACAAAGACGGATTCGACGGCACACAGTATATAATCACAGTCCGACCCGTCTTAACGCCAACAAATCTTGGCTTCTGGAACACATGGATATTTTCTTCAGCTGAAAAGATGAGATGGATGGAGAGAAAACATGCGAGACAGAACCGGTTTAATATCGCACGTATTAAGGTCATTTTCACATTACCAGCAGAAGTAAAACCAAGAAACATGCTTTCATTATGAAAGACACTAAACAGTAAGGATTATAAAACTGCATGAACTTCATGAACTGTTTATTGTTAAAAATGGGTATCTGGCAAATGCAAACTTGTTTTGAAGCGATGAGACTTCCTCTTTCACTCACAGATGGAAAGGAAGAACAACACTGAAAACAAGCCTAAGGCAACTGTAATATGCAAACTGTTATCCTGCAACCTTCAAACGTGCCACAAAAATCATATAAATCAATCATAAACTACTGCTGTTCTAACAAATTCCACCCAGAAGCTAAAAAGTGCACCAAATGTTGCATTTCAGTACAGTAACCTATGTAAAAGTCAAACACAACAGTAGTTTTTAAGGTCTTAAGCGGTCATATTTACCTGAGAGGTAAATCAGCGCCATGACTGAAGATCCCAGCAGGAAGTAATGCATGATTCTTGATCCTGAAATGCTCCTCTCCAAGAAAGTGTAGAAGTCAGCGCAGATCACATAGACAGAACAGAAGGAAGTCAGCTCCACCAGAGTGAAGGGTGCAGGTCATGAAGCTGCGATGATCCGAATCCGTTTCAGAGAAACATGCAAATCGATACACTCATGCATCAAAAGGTGAAGGAACGAAGTGAATCATCTTAATACTAAATATAAAGACTGATATAGGCTACTTCACCATGTATGTACAATCGTGATTAATGTCAACCGTTTATGCATCACAAAACCAGATTAATATCAATGGCTGAAAATTACCAGTATGTTTTCTGTTAAGTTCATAGGCATTTCCTTTAACCCCAAAACAGAATGCAACGCAATGTGTAATTCAAAATACATCGGAAACCCCTGTGAAGAATCAACATGAAAAATGTCTAAATATTAACATGGTCAGCCTACATTAGGCTGTATTATTACAGACTTTCTTAGAGTGTATCATACGCTCACACTAGCCATTGCAAATGTTATACGCCCACAAAGAGTTAAATGCAAAAGTCCTGTTACATATATTGCCTTATGCAATAAACAATTATTAGCAAATAATAGCTGCTATACTGAAAAATTATGACATTTTACTGACTATAAGTAACTTTGCAAGTACACTCTTAAAAATAAAAGTTCCAAAAGGGGTTTTGCAGCAATGCCACAGAAGTTTCCATGGATATTAAATGTTCCTTATGGAACCGCTAATGCCAAAGAAGAACCTTTATTCGTAATAATATGTACATGTCAACTTCCAGTCAGGTGTTTTGAGTGGCCCTCCAGGAGCAATGCTATGTGCACATTGATCTGGATAAATTTAATAACATTTTTAAATGTTTTCTAAAAGTTGCTCATCTACACTGAAAATGCTCACCTTGCTGTGCATGCGCAAAATAGCCTGAATGCTCACTGAGATGATCAGAGATAATAAAGCTCTCACGCTCTCTTGACACATTTTATTAACAAATATCCCATCACCCCAACACACCTGTGTGTGTTCAGGTCACACTTAAAATCTTCACCTTTTGCCACAGGACAGAAAAGGTTGTACAACATTTATTTTTAGCAACATTATTAAAGTGAATAGCAGGCACAACAATGTTGGTACAACCATAGATATGCATTGAAACAATGTGCATCTGCATCACATGACTAAACATGAATAACGGTTTATACACTTAGGAGAACAGCTTCTAAAAAGCTAAATTTTTGATGGACAAAATGCTGTCTCAGTGTAGATGAAAGTCCAAAACAGAGAGAAAAAAAATGTTTTCGAATTTATCCAGATTAATGTGGACATAGCCCAAGACTGGACACCCTTGGTTTATTATATTATATTTTATTTATTACTTACTTACAGTTGCCTGTGTTTTATTGTTTGCCGTTTCTGATGGTTGCCAGTCAGGATTTTGTTGTGTCGCACAATAACAATAAAGTGTCTTTAATTTCAATGCACAAGTGGGTGCTTTCCATGCGGTGCAGTTTATCACAGTCATTGAGCTGTGTGAAGAGTGTAGCACTCAGCAGCTGTAACCACACTCACTCATGCTCAACTATCAGTTAAAGTCAGAACAGGCAAGGAAGGCAGTACCCCCCCACCAAAAAAACTAATAAAACTAAACAAGTATTATGAAATATGTGATTAAATGAGAGAAAACAGTGTTTTTATTGTTCTATGCTTGGCTCAATACCTTAAATGCTCACTCCTCAAAAAGGTTAAAAATAAAGCAGTAAACGTCACACAGCACTGTCTGCAACCATCATGACATTTACATTGTTTATGAACCAAAAATAAGGCGGTAATCATTTTAACATAGAAACCAGTAGTTCTGTACACTGCAAAAAATATTTTTGAAGCTGTAAATAAAATAAATATTTATGGAGTATATTTTAAAAGAAAATACTATTTCATTTTTTTTTTATACTTCAAAATTTCAAGTTGAATTCAATGTTACTTGCTTGCTATTTCTTTGAATTTTTTTGTAAAATGTACTAGCAATTTTTAGTGTAGCAACAAATAAGTCAAATAACAACTCAGTGGCCTAAAGAGATGGCCAGATGACAGTCTGCTAACCACACACACACACACACACACACACACACAAAACACTTTACTGCCCCAGTTTCTGATTGACTCAAAAGCTGTGGGAACAACGACTATCACCTAAATAATATCTAGAAACAGTAATGTTTGTGAAAAAGTTGTTTGTCCAGTAAAAGATTTTGTGCTAGTAAACATTTTTGAACAGTAAGACCGGTCAACAATATTATTCTTTCTCCCATCAGTGAATGTGCTTCTGAAAGCTAAATTATCCCCATAACACAAATGCCAATGTATAGATCACCGGATTCCAAACTTATTAAGACTGGTTACCTGAGGTGAAGACATCTCTAGCTGCGGGGTAAAAATAGAAGGTGTGAAACAAGAACAGCTATCCGAGCAGGGGCCACTGTGACACACAGAAAAAGTCATATGGCGCACAAGTCGAATGGAAAAAATGGTCTTGATAAACACCTCTGGGAAAACATGTACACAAACAACACATGATAGCATGCTAAGACTGTAAACTCAACTAAATCCCACCATGAGATGAAGTGTGATACTGAAGAACTGCAATCTGAGACTGCAATTCAAACCTTTAAAGCATGAAGAGAAGCACGTTTATCTTATCAAATTTATTTTAAATGTACATTGAATTAAATGTTGTCAAGTGACGATACAAAGAAAAGACCACATCTGAGAAATACGCTTCTATCTGCAAAGTATATATATATACAGGCAATGAGGCTAGCAAATCCTAAAGCACTGCAATGTCTCTCTCCTTGATAAAAATGTAAACAATAGGAAATTATTTGCATATTAACAATATCAATATGAAACCAAAAGTGCACAAAACTGCCCACAGATTACATACAAACTGATTAGGGTTTTTTTTTCTCAAAAAAAGTAATTCTCATTTGAACACATAGTAAACTAATGCTTTTTGGTAATAAGAGACCAAATCTAAAAATTATACGAGAGGTAAATATAAATATCTCAAAGTGCTTCATTTATGAGTTTTAAGAAATAAGACATTTGCAGTCACATTAAGACTTCAGAGGAAATCCATCATTAAATGTCTCTAATACATACAACTTCTAGCTATGATGACTCACAGGTACTAAAACACTGAACATAGCTTCGGGGATTATTAACTTGATAATGTTTTAAAATGGCCAGTTTTCAATTTTCAATTTAATGAAAGGAATTCAAAGGAAGGTGTAAACATCACAACCATATCTCAGGTAATAAATATGAATTTCAGCTAGATATGAATTAGGTAAGAATCGTGTGAGTCATCTACTGGACACTTCAGGCTCTTTTTGTAAAGAAGGGAATCAGTTATAAAGCAGTTACAGGGTAATGCCCTTGCCGACAAAGAAAAATAATCTGACGCAATTTTGCAACACTTATCAGGGGTACTCTAAATTTCACAAATTATTCATCAATTTATTATAATGGACACTATGATGCTCAATTCACATCGGGATATTAGTGCTGTGCTGTCTCCGTGTTAAATACAGTTAAATGGATGGGGTTATTCTAACTAGGTTTACTTAACTTCTGAAATAACTTCTGAATAAGAACATGAAAACTGCATTTACTTTACAGGCTTGGTAGATTTTCAGCAATCTCAAGTGACAATCTAGCTGTTTTGACTACCAGGGCATTAAAAGGAATTGCTAAAATTACACAATGCTTTTAATGCTTCAAGTTATATTAATTACAAAATATTTTAAAAAAATGTTTAGTACAGTCACTGGGGACTACAACTGCACTGTAAAGGATCAGTTTCTGTTCTACTCGTTCCACCAATCTGCTGTAAACTGGTAAGCCATGGACTGAGATTATAAATAGTTCAGTAGACTAAACAGACTCTGGACCGACATGTTTGAGTGATGGTCAGTACCAGCGGTTCTCGTTCCTAATAGTTCTGAGATCTGTGCAGTTAAACATCAGAATTATACTGTAAGTAACATATCAGGTTTTGTAATTCAGTGTTTAACAAATACTGTTGTGAATTCTTTGATCATTATTGAATTATTAAGATATAAATACTGATACATCTTCCAACAAGTATTCAAAAAGATGATTTAGGACAAGGTAAAAACTACGATGAACCTGTAAAATGGGAGCTTGTTGAAAAAAACTGTGTTTTAAACTAGTGTTTCCCAACCGGGGTGCCGTCTGTGGTCTGTCGAGAGCAGGGGTGCCGTGTAAAAAAATATTTTTTTTATATTTTTAAATTGCTAAAATGTTCAAAAAAGCATCTATTATATAATATCCATTTCTGATGTCGCCAATAATTAGAGATGCACCGAAATTTCGGCTGCCGAAAATTAGTTCACCGCTCAGGTTTCACTTTCACGTGATGTGACGCTCTGCGTATTATCCCACTCAATGCGTGTGTGCTCCGCTCAGTCGCTCCACTCGTATACCGTTCATGCGAATCGGAACAGCAACGTCCACTCAAAAGTCGAGCCGACAGGAAACATGGATGTAGTACAGTATTGTTTCTGTCTGCAATAGCCCTACTGTGTTGTTACATGGTGTGGTATTTGGGCAACTCTGGTAACGCTGCCCTCTCATTCATTGATCTGCTAACCGCTATGTTATGCTCACGTGTTCTGATAATAATAGCTTTCTAGGACTAAACAGTATTTGGATAATTGGTAAAAAAAAAAAAAAAAAAGTTAATTATCTTACCCCTACTGTTGAAAACCTACCTGAAAAACTAAAAAGCTATTTATTTAATTCGAAGGCCTGTCGCTATTTTTTATTCGTGCTATCATTATTAATTCTTTATTTGTTCTTATTCTATTACTGACTGCTTACTTGTCATTTTTTATTCAATTTAAAGTTTGAAATCAAGCTATCTCGTGCTACTGTAACAAAATTACCCCACTGTAAAATTAAAAAAACACTGAGTGAGCAAAAATTTGTGAGATAGCTAGTTATAATGGTAATTAAATAATGTTTACATATGTATAAAAGCCTATATTAAAATCTGTCATATAAATTGGTCTCTTCATTAGAAAATAGCCTACTGATTGCCATCATTGATGGACACATTTTTTTAAATAATATTAAAAATATCTGTATGACATTATATTCTGCAGTTCTTCCCCGTTGTACTGAATATCTATACTTTTCAAATGATCATATCAAAGTTAGAAATTCAAATATTGTGACAAAATTAATTTTGTAGGGTGCCACAAGTTTGTTCAAATTTCCAAATGGGTGCCGCGACTAAGAAAAGGTTGGGAAACACTGCTTTAAACAACCCAAAGAAATATACCATTGTCACCACATACCGTAGTCACATACAGTAGAATTACTGGGTGTTAGCATGCAGGGGACGAAACAGCTACATTAAAATTGTGATTTCATTTTGACCATGAAAAATGTTATAATAGGATTTTTCTTTTCTTGTTTTGCAAAACACATTTTTGCGAACTAGTCCCAGGTTTTTCACTCGAAAGGAACCAAACAAGTGCACAAAGATTCTCTGGACACTAAATATTACTAATTATTCCCAAAAGGCTGAACTTTAAATTCATCACTGCAACGGTGGCAAAATTTCAAAGTGGGTGTGGCCACTTTCACTTAAATGGCTGTAACTCTTGAATGGAATGAGATATTTTCACCAAACTTGGCACATTTGTGTATGGGTTCAGTCTGAGGTCATGTGGGAAAAAATGCAGCACTTAGCCCCTTGGTGGCGCTATAACAGGGAAAAACCCGCAAACATATATACGTACAAGGGCAAAAGAACCTGGCTAAGTTATGGCAAATGTACTGGGACATTTCTAATTGGGATCAAATAAAACGAATCCTAAATTAAACGGGTCTTTACAAAAGTTTCAATAATAAAAAAACAGTACTCCCAAGAAACAGCATTCCAATGCTGTCACACAGTAGCAGTCCTGTGTAATCCTTTAAGCCGTCTTGTTTTTGGAGCATATGTTGTTCAGTGAGTGCAGGTGATACTCCATTTTACATCACAAGGATTATCTCAGTCCACAGGCATTGTCCACCAGTTATACTATTGACTCTTTTATCGTTGCATTCTCTGAACTGCAGAGGCCATGTGTCGTGGGTCCAGACCGGAGGATCACCTCACTTGTGAGCTCCACTGGAAGTATGCCAAGTTGTCCCTGTGGTTGAGGGTAGGTTACGGATACTCTGTGCTGCGTGACCGAGGTGGGCTTGGGCGGCTGTGCATAAGGTGGCATCGGCCTAGCCTGCAGCTCAAGAGCCATGGCGAGTTCTGGATTGCTGCCATACAGGGCATCCATTTTCCTTGCAATTAACCCTTCGGTTTCAGGAGGTTCTTCATCGTTTTGACTCCTGACTTTCCTCTTTGAACGATGCATGAAGCATGCATACCGGATAGCACGTTTGAGGAGATGTCTACGGTATGTTCGTTGAACCGCAGTGGCTGCGCGCTCTTCCTCTTTCCTCCTGAGAGTGGTGTTGATTGGATCAAAGGAGGCAGAAGTGGGATTGTTCATTGTGAACTTGGCTTCAATGCTCTCCTTCATGGCAGCCATCTCAATCGTGTCGCCAAGAACCTCACGGGTAACTGCCAAAAGAATATCCAGACAGTGGACTTTGTCGCCGGTTACAATGGGTAGATCCATGGTGATTAGTTTAAGGCGGTTGGGTTTGGCAATTCGTAAAGGCTCCTGCAAGGCATCGACGAAGTCAAACAAGCGGCTGTACTCAATGAACTGTGTACCATCAACGTCAAACTTTTCCCATGTCTCATCGAACATCTCAAAGTCATCCTCACAGAGCAGGTCTCCACTCTCCTCTTGAGCAACGTTGAAGTTCTCAAGAATGATAGCAATGTACATGTTCACGACCACCAGGAACGACATGATGATGTAACTGCAGAAAAACATGATACCCATGCCAGGATTCCCGCAGTTACCCCGAACGTCTGTACCTGGGTTCTCTATGTCAGGGTCACAGTCTGGAGGGCCGCTGTTCAGAATAGGCAGCAGAAGCCCATCCCAGCCTGCCGAGGTTGTGATCTCAAACAGGCAGATGATGCTGCCGCCAAATGTTTCAAAGTTGAAGATATCGTCGATGCCTGCCTGCTTTTTTACATAGGCAAAGTTAGACATGGCAAAGATAGAGAAGATGAACATAATGAGGAACAGAAGCAGTCCGATGTTGAAGAGGGCAGGAAGTGACATCATCAAGGCAAACAAAAGAGTCCTAATGCCTTTTGCCCCTCTGATGAGACGTAGCACACGGCCGATTCTGGCGAGCCGGATGACGCGGAACAAGGTGGGAGACACAAAATACTTCTCAATGATGTCTGATAACATCAGACCTTGGGAAAGAACAAATATGGGTTATTATAAACTATTTAGTGTAGTTATAGTAGTAAAGTATACACTGGGGCGCACTTACAGAGCTCTTAGTATCTAGTTTATCCAAATCAGTAAAATACACCATAACAAGCTATATTGGCATGATGTTTGACAACTCTAGGCTCATTGAAAAAACTTGGCAGAACTCCAAAAGGTACCAATACAGATAATTTACAGGTTCCATTTGAAACGAACACTAGAACACCGACCATTTTTATTACACAAATTGGGATTACAGGGGCAGATTATGGATTAATAAAGATTTATTTTCATGTGGCTCCTTGCACAATACTATGTTATGACCCCAAAACTCTTTTACCACAGTGTATGATTTGTAAACGAATACATTTTGATGTCTGCATCACATAACCAGCTCCATATCAATGGTTTTTCTGATGTAGTAAACTTGCTCGAACTAAACTCGCACCCAGTAGCACTGCTCTTGTGATGCAAAGCGCTTTGAACACAAGTCGCGATAAAAGCTTAAAAACTTGTAGAATCAAGCTTAAAATGGCATGGTTACTTCAGCAAATGCAAGTTTTGTTGTTTTCGGTTAAGTGTAGAGTAGGTTTTTGTGTATGTTGTACATTATTTTCAAACACAATAGAGCATTAGCCCTTTTTGCGTCACTTACTGGACATTTCACTTTGAATGTGCCACAAAACATGCAAGAGGAAACAATGTAATTTTGCAGAAATGTCACTGCAGGCACGTTTTTTTTTCAATGAGCCTGGGTTGTTCTACACATACCTGCTATAGAAAGGATGACCACAACAAAATCAAAGACGTTCCAGCCAATAGTGAAAAAGAAATGTCTGAGCGCAAACATCTTAAGTCCACATTCTCCTGTGAAGATGACGATGAAGAACAAATTGATCTGGTACAGGATATCCTCTTTCTCAGCACTCTGGTCATCTGTCTCTATCATCATGGTCACCATATTGAGGCAGATAAGCACCATGATAAAGATGTCAAAGAACTGTTTTGTTATGAAGTCAAACACCACACCCTGGATCTCATTCTGTTAGGAGAACAATGTAGTGGATTAGTTTTTAAAAACCTCAAGAGATCTAATGCTGATATTCCAAAAAAACAACAACACTTTTGTTGAAAGTCAATTAGTTGTTATCAATGTTAGTCGAATGGTTCATACCAATGGCCTAGGGATAGGTTTTGCAGGTTTTTTGGAACCCAACTTCTTCATGGCATTGTAGTACTTTTTTTGTTCCTCTGTCATGAAAATGTCTTTCCCTCCAAAGTGCAGAAGAAACAAATATTAATTATTCTTTGTGGTAAAGAACTATCCAAATGTGCAACACAAATTTAAATAATTTGGAGTTTAGTTAAAAAAAGATATGCTTATCTTGGACTTCTGCTGATTGAAGTTGTCAATGATGACACCAATGAAGAGGTTGAGAGTGAAAAAGGATCCAAAAATGATGAAAATAACAAAATATAGGTACATGTAAAGGTTGATCTCATATGATGGCTGCTCTTCCACCTAACACGGAAAATAATCAATGAATGCCACAATAAAAGTAAGTCACACAGAGTAAGTTTTTTAACTCTAAACTAGGGCTGTCAGTTTAACGCATAAACTTAATAAGTTATGAAAAATAACGTGATGAAAATATTTTAACGCAGTTAACGCACTGGCCCCACGTCCTGCATGTCATCTTATATTTCATAGAGTTGACTGTTGACAAATATGATGCAGGGCAACAACCCCATAAACTAAGTTATGCCCTAAAATTCAAGATATTGGGACAAAAATGCCCCTTTATGAGTTTTTGTCTCTTTTCTATATCATATGATAAGCAATATCACACCAGCAGCAAGAGCAATATCACACAAGTGCTGTTTTTGTCACAAAGAACACGAGTACAACTCATAGACTAGGCTATAAAGTGCAAATGTGATTTTATACAACAGTTCCGTAAACAAGACGTTTATATTGTGTCATGTACACGGACCTATTTTAAACACAATATTGTGTGTTTTTGTTCAGTATTGCCAACATAAATATTACCTATAAAGCCACAGCAGAACTGTTGTGTGTCTGTGAGTAACACAACGGTGTTTATTTTCTGAATTCATTCACGTGAACGAATTGTGTGAACCAATGAGTCAAAGGCCATTCATTGAGAGAGCCGTTTACTGAATTCCTGAATGAATCAACCGTTTGAATGAATCGAATCGAATGAATAAAGACATTTACAGCCACCTGCTGGTAGTTTTAGTTTCTTCTTTTTATTAAAAAAATTCAATTAAATAAAAAACATTAAAGGCATATTTCAGCAAAAATAAATAAATTTATAAATAAATTCTCTCATCATTTACTCACCCTTGTGTTGTTTCAAACCTGAATGACTTACTTTCTTTTGCAAAACATAGAAGAAGTATTTTGACTATTGGAAGACAAAGCTGTTTCTGTTACCAGTGACTTTCATTGCATGAACAAAAAAATACTGAGATGTTTCTAAAATGATCTTCTTTTATGTTCCATACTTTATGTTAGGCTGTTGCAACCTAAACATTTAACACAATAATAGCTTTAAATTATCTTTTGGGGGTATTTTCACAGCCAAATTTAGTTTAACCCTCTAAGCGCTAGACCAAAATGACGTCATATTCCTATTCAAAGTGTTCGAGCAAATAGCATAGCAAGTGAGCTATCGTGTCATTGATGCGGAAGCAGTTCAGTTCAGAGTGTCTGAGTAAATTGTGAGATTTGTGAGAGAAAATCGCCAAATGGCTAATAAAATGTTGTACCGTGAGAATGTGTTGCAAATGTTACTCGCCGATTCTGACTCTGAAGCGGAATATTTGCCTTTTGGAAATGACGATCGGTCATCTAATGATCGCGCTTCTTCCGGTACATCTTTGCAGCGCAATGGTGCCGCCGTGCAAGGCGAGAGTGTTCACGAAGCACAAACAAGTGATCATTTCGACCCTTTGTCCAACGGGGATGGGGGTGGCAGGGGAGAATGTGGTCGTAGTGTTCATAGGAGAGCTGTTGCTAGAGGTGGAGGCAGGAGGGGTAGGAGAAATAGGGCTGGAAGTAACACTAGCTCTTTGGATCCAGCACCCCAAAGAGGTGGGAGTGGCCGCGGTAGACGTGGCCGTGCTGTGCGTGGGAGAGCCGGGAGACGTGGTAGAGGCAGCAGGGGTGATCTGGCTCTATATAGGGCTGGAAATAGCAATGACAATGGTGGCTGGGTTTTTTTGAGAAATGAAGACGTGTATCAGGACTGGATCAAACGCTTTGATGAGCCTGTTGGTTATCTAGGAGAGAAAGATTTGACCAGTGCTGCACCCTTACAAAGTACAGGTGCAGTCAGTGTGGGGTAGGTCTGTGCACTCTGCCATGCAATGAGAGGTACCATACTCTCAAGAACTATAAACTTTGTCACCTAGATACTTGATTGGGCAGATAGCTGGTCAACTGATAAAAAAATAGGCACATGCATTTTAATATGGCACAGTAATATAGTAATAATTTACTATAGTTACTAATAGTTTTACTGTTGATTTCCTCTTTTCCTGATCATTTGGAATGAGGATAAAAAGACAAAAAAAACAACAACAACAAAAAAACATGCAAATAAGTTCAAACATCCACTCCATATATATTTTTTCCTGCATATTACTGATGAACTGATCAAAAAGTAGGCTACTGTTCACATGCGTTTTACTACTATATAGTATAGTAATATAGTAATAATTTAGTACTTTCTACTGTTTTATTGTTGGTTTCCTCTTTTCTGATCATTTGGAATGAGAATAAAAAGACAAAAAAAACAAAACAAAAAAACATGCAAATAAGTTCAAACATCAATTCAATATCTACTATTTCCTGAATATTATGAAATTCAAGATGGCCGCCCCTGATGACATCATAATATGCAAATTAGATGAGTATATTTACACTCCACATAAACATTTACACTCCGCCCAACATTTTTCTAATTTACAGTAGATCTCTATCTTTAAGCCCTTTCAACCCACAAGCGTTTGAAATCTTGATGTCAAAATCCAGCATTTTTTCCAAAAAACCCTGGCACCTAAAGGGTTAAGATTAATTAGATTAATTAATCTCAGCACCCTGTAATTAATTAGATTAAAAGTTTTAATCAACTGACAGCCCTACTCTAAACAGAAATAAGTTCAATAATTTAGGAACTGACATTGTTCTTTAAAAATAAGCTGTTGAACATGCAACTCATTATTCATTTTATTTTACTTTGATGTCATGACATTTGGATATAAGAACCAAGAAAAGTTTGATTTTACTGACTTACAACCTTTGCCACAGGGAACATATTTGTTTTGAGAGTTGCACTTTTGGGGAAGAATTTCTTAAATTTTTTGTTGATTGATTACACAAAGCTATCAAATGGCATCAAAACACTTACAATATAGTGCTCAAGTTGTATGGACTAAGCATTTTTTTATCCCTTTTAACACTATAACCATTTGTATGAAAATAAGATTCTTTATTTTAATTCTTTAAAATGTTTGTTTCTATCTAAAAACAGCAGCATACAGGTTTAGAAAGATATGAGAGTGAGTATATAATGGTGAAATATTTATCAACTATTCTTTTTACTCTAATTGAGAAATGTGTTTACAAATTGAACACCACTTTGCATACAATCAGCGAGGACAACATATCAAAAAGTTGTGTTGACTATTTACTGTATTGTGAACTTGCAACATGCGTGGATATACTACATTATATCCATTCAACTGCATTGTAGCAGCTATACAGGTGGAAAGACTGTCATTCACGTACCTCTCTAGAATCCACTGCAGCATACATGATATCCATCCAGCCTTTAAATGTGGCCTGTGTGGAGAGAAGTATTTTATGAATATCAGCATGTCATATAAAACCCATTTATTCATTATGCATTTGTGCTGAGTTACCTCTGTGTCCTCTGATGCATAAAAAGGAAAGGACATGAAAATGCATTCGCTGACTGTAAATATGCTTAAACTCAATAATGACATTATTATACTCTGTGTCTGCACTAAATTGATCTTTTTATTGATTTTTTTTAGCTTAGTTTCACTCTTTGGATGTTCTGAATTAGTTTGATCTTTTTTTCTTCAAACGATCAAGCAAATATCATCATGTTATGACTGTTAATGGTTACATGTGTTCCATATGTAATAGAATAAACTCTACAAGTCATAATAAACGTACAATTTGCAGTAGAGAGAGGTAGCCGAGTCCCACATTGTCATAGTTGACCTTCACATTGACCCAGCGCGCTTCATTGGTGAGCATCAGAGCCATACAGTCACTCTTGTTGTTGACCACATCCATGGGGAAGCGTTCCTCTGTGGTGGTGTTGATGCAGTGGTAGAACTTCCCAGCAAACAGATTGACTCCCATAATGCTGAAGATGAGCCAGAATATCAGACAAACCAGCAGCACATTGAAAATAGAGGGAATGGCACCAACCAGTGCATTTACTACCACCTGTATGGGACATAAACACAATCTGGAATTAGAGACAAATAAGTAATTGATATTTGTGCAAATACTTATTTTAACTTAACTTTAAAGTTAATATTTAAAGACATGTCACTCAGAAACGTTAAAAACATACAGTATAAAGTTGATTTTTACATTAGGTAAAATATTCTAAATAAAAATGGTTCTAAAAATCATTCTAGCTTTAAAGGATTTATATTTATAACTTTGAATCTTTTTAAACTCTTGTGCTTTTCCTAATCTATTAAAGTGTTAAAATACTAAACATTAGGGGTGGAATGGTTCTCCACACACGGTTCGGCACGCGCTAGGACCGCGGTTCAACTTAAATCTGACAACGCATCTGTAATATGGTTTGCTATAAATAACATGTAAAACAAACGGGGTTCGGCTAATATATGTTTCTGTTGATGGATGTGCATTCTGGCTTCCCAATGCATTACAACAACAGCGATGAAAAGAAAAAAACAGGGACAAACCATTCACTCTCGTTCAATGCGAATGCCATATGCTGGAATATGAGCATTTATTCCGTCATCACCCGGGTACTGATAGCGCGCGCACATGTGAGCATGCTGATATCTGTGTTTTAGCTAAACTTGTTTAAGCTTTGCCAGTTTAAACATTTAAGAACCAGAGGACGCGAGCTCACGCGTGCAGTGAGAAGATGTGTGCGTGCGCTCATTCGAAGCCTGCAAAACCCTGTTCTGAGTGTCTCAGTCAGAACACTCGCAAATATTAAGCTCTCTCTGAAGTATTGTGTTTAAATGGACAAATTCACACAAAAATTATGTCAAAATGCCCGTCTTGGTAGGTATCCTATAGCAGACATAGCCAGCTGAACATACTGGATCAGTGCACTGGATCAGTGCATTCTCTTAAAGTGACAGCACTTTCTTAATATTAATCAAACAGCAACAACAAAGAAATCACTCAATGCTCTTGGTTGAATAGCTTTTGTAACTTTAATAAAGATTAATCTTTAATTTATACAGTCAAATATGCAATGCTGTTATACATTTCATTACTTTATTCAATTTCTGTACCTGAAAACTGTTAGACCTACCTAAAAAAACCTGAAAATCACTGTTTATTTTATTTGTATCTTTACTCTATTGTATTTATTTGTGCTGTTGCTTGTAGTTAGATAAATTATTCTTATTTTATTTATTTTTATTTGACAGTATAGTTTTTCTCTAAACATAGCACATACCGAACCATACTGAAACCGTGACTCTAAAACCGTGATACAAACCGAACCGTGAGTAAGTTGAACCGTTCCACCCCTACTAAACATGAATTTTTAACTTCGTCTTTTTTAACATAAACTGTGAAAATCAGGAAAATGCTGTTTTTAAAAAGAATCACATTTCCAATCATTTGGTATTTCTGTGGATAATTTTTATAACAAAGCGTACCTCTTCTCAACACTGCTGTCATTTCCACAACACCAATCCTTTTATTGACTGCTTGCTAACTTGTGTAAGCAAGTCCAAATAAATACTGCAATTTTCCATGCCAAAAAGTGAACTTCAGATCTTTATTTGAAGAACCACTCACAAATGCATAAATAAGGAGTCGTTTCTTACCCTCATTCCTTCAAATCTTGACAGGGCTCGAAGTGGTCGAAGAGCCCTGAGTGTTCTGAGAGATTTGATTGCTCCCAGCTCAGAATATCCCAATAAATTGGCTGTTAAACTGACTACTGACACCTGAATAAAACAGCACATGATCAGTACACACAGACTTTGGCATCTGACATGCATTTGCTTATAAAAATATTGACTTTTTGACTTTTGCTTTGGCAAAAGTCAAAAAGGTTAACTCACATCCACAATGAGGAAGTCCAGCCAGCACCACGCATTAGTGAAGTAAGTCTTGAAACCATATGCCACCCACTTTAGTAACATCTCTACTATGAAAATGTACGTAAAGACTTTATCAGCATACTCCAGTACAATCTTGATCACTCTGCGGCGCTCGATGTTGATATCCTCAAAAGCCTGACAGAATAAAAGTTGATGTATCAGACAAACATTAATGGATTTATAATTTCCCTTTTCCTTACAATGAAATTAAAAAGTGAGATTTTAATATCACAGATGTAATAACTTAACTACATGCAGTTTACTAAGCATTGGCTCAGTATTGCCAGACACACCAGTGCTCCACTACTAAGGAGGATCATAAAGATGATGAAGGTTTCAAAGTAGTCATGCTCAACGATGGTGAAGCATGTTCTTCGAAGGTTCCACCACTTTTTCCCCCATCCTTCTGTGATGTCTACATTGAAACATGTAAATCGCTTAACACAACCTAAGTAAAAAGAGAGAAAAATACATAAGATATTTCTGGTCTTGAAGTGATGCCTTGAGCATTAACATTCCTAATGAAAGAAAATGCATGCACACCCTCTGTGAAACAGGACTCTGGCTCTTCAGGCTCTGGTTCTTCTTCCTCTTCAGGCTCAGGCTTAGGTTCTGGAGGCCGGTAGTCCACTGTGCTACAAACTGAAGAGTCGTCATCATTAAGAGTGGCCTGTGCAGAAAAAATATGCAAAGAAACGAGAGAGAATGAAAAACAAATGTGAGGAGAACAAAATAAAGTATTAAAGGGGTCATATGATGCGATTTCCTTTCTCTTTGGAGTGTTACAAGCTGATTGTGCATAGATAAGATCCCTGAAGTTGCAAAGACTAAAGTCTCAAAACCAAAGAGATATTCTTTATCAAAGTTAAGACTCTGCCACGCCCCCCTAAAACGGCTCGTTCTAACACG